TTGTTGGGTGCGTGTCGGATCCTCCAAATTTAGTGCATTTTTGGAGGATCCGACACGGGTGCGGCAGCACTTTTGGAGTGTCCGAGCAACATAGGATGGAAGTAATCTAAGTTATTAATATGGAATCATTTGTCTTCTATTCATGCTAATCTTCAGTTAGAAGATTAAATATGCTATATCTTCTTTTTGTAAGAATTTGTAACTCGGAAGCAGATATCCCTTTGTTCTTATTTTACATGAAGGACATGATTCACATTGTGAGAATCAAGGTCATCATCATGTTTTCCTCAAAAGTATACATCCGGTTTCTGAAGTGCAATTTACTTCACAATTTGATTTTGGAACCATTCCGTACAGGGCTTGTATTGCTGTGGATGATCATCTTTATGTAATTGGCGGTCAAGAGGGTGATTTCATGGCCAAACCTGGCTCCCCTATCTTTAAATGCTCACGAAGGTTCGAGGTATTAAATCTTTCGTATTATTGTTTCAGTTTGATCTGCTGGTTTTGACTTTCTGATTATAGTCTTATTTTGAAAGTTCTTTTCAGGAAATCGCTTTAATTTCTATGTCTGTGGCTTCAGGTGGTTTATGGTGATGTTTATATGCTGGATGAAGATATGAAATGGAAAGGGTTGCCTTCTATGCCAAAGCCGAATTCGCACATAGAATGTTCTTGGGTTGTTGTAAATAATTCTATTGTTATTGTTGGAGGCACAACAGAAAAGCATCCTGTGACCAAAAGGATGATCTTGGTCGGAGAGGTGTTCCGATTCGACCTGAACACACTGGTAATATTCACCTGTTTTGTACCACACATAGCGTATGTGCATTATTTCAGAATATGTCATTTAACTAATCAGGGTTAGATGCCTACATCACATCCCCTTGGGTGCGACCCTTCCCCGGACCTTGCGGGAATGCGGGATGCCTCGTGCACCGCGCTGCTAAAAAAAGAGAATCATTTGACTAATTCTCATGCAAATGCTCGTCCTCACGTATGCTTAGTCTTACATAATTATGAGAAACATCTTTAGGATGTTCATCAATCACTTGGCACACCTAGTTTTAGAGTAAAATCAAGATTTGTAACATTGAGTTCTTTACTATTTCTGCAGACATGGTCCGTCATCGGAAAGATGCCATACCGTGCGAAGACGACATTGGCCGGGTTCTGGGATGGATGGTTGTATTTCACCTCTGGACAGCGGGATAGAGGACCAGATAATCCACAGCCCAGGAAAGTAGTAGGAGATATGTGGAGAACCAAATTGAGATTGTCGCACTGATGACTGGTGTGCTACCAATTCCTAGCGGCCATGTCGCTTTACAATTTTATTGAATGCAAGGGTACCTTCATTCAGTACTAAAAGGAAATGTTAGGTTTGTTGGTTAGTATCATTTTGCCTTTTGGATTTTATGTAATGTCAAGGTTACGGCCCCGTGGTCTGGGCCGTGCCAAGTGACAAGCATGCAGGTGCCTCTGTCGCCCCACCGATATCCCTCGCCAGTGCCAAGCCGCAGGCAGATGCCAACAACGCCGCGCGCGCACGTCGTCGAGTACCAAACGACACTACTGCTGACACGGACGTCGCTGCTGCCTATAGAAACTAAGTCATTT